AATGTTTTTGGACTATACCAGAAAATCAGGGTGAATTATTCCTTACACTACCTTTATCATTGCCTGAAACAGCTAATTTCGCAAAAAGTTATTTTTGTATAGGCTGATGTATTTGTTATTTACATAATTTGAGTGATTCTAGTGGATACTGAAACATGACACATGACAATCCTCTTCTTAACCACAACCACTGTAAATTCTTAAAGATACAACAATCAACAGTAACATAACTGACACAAACAAAACAGTCAATTTGGCATTCCAAATTGTTGTCTTTTTCTGGCTCGAGGCAAACTATAATACATCTGCCATTTGACTCCTGAAGGTCAACCTTGACTAGTGCACATTCAATGAACAAACAATTGACAAAATCTGAGGTTCAACACGAGTCCACAGGTCAGTTTTGCCCTTAAGCCTCTGTTGGGGTTAATCTGGCAGTGGCAGTTCTTGTAAATACCACATCATCATCAGTGACTGGAACTGCATTGGTGGCAGTGGAAGAGTTTTACCCCAACCTTTACCGTTGAGTCCCTGTGGCCAAAAGTTAATTTCAGTGCTGAGAGCAAAGATTCTTTTTGCTCCAATACTTATTTCAGGGTTTAATAGGACTACATTTATATGCATTTCTTCATCAAAATCAAAAGTGCAGTGAAAAATCTACAAATTCCAACATTCAAGACATGGGTTAGTTACTGCTAAAGTATCAGGTTTCCGAAAGTTAACATGGACCAATGACAATCAAGCAATGACGGTAGAAAGTTTGTGCTTAATAATTACAGCACTCTGGTGACAGTGTCAAGGCAATTGACATTTAATAAAATTGCATTTGTTATGCTATTTACTCATTTAAACAAAAAATATATATCTCTGGGCAAACTTATGCCCCAGTGAGTTCTTGCTGGACAGGCTGCTAATGAACAAAAACAAAAACATATTTATTGGCACAAATATCTATCAATCTGAACAGAAAATTTAAATATTAGTATATTTTTTATGTTGTTAGGGTGTACTGCTGTTTGCAAATTCCAAAGATTTGATTAACCGTGCAGGAAAGCTAGAGGCAACACATCCCAAAACTCTGCAAAACTTCAGTCATTCTGTCAACATGCCAGCCTAAGTAGACTAAATGTGAAGGACATAGCATCTAGGAAATAAGCAAGAAATTGCCCGACACACCTCATTTCTTCAATTTAAAGAAAACCAGTAAAATGAATTAGCGTTGGGCGCCTTTGTGTGTACACTGTAGGTCGGCATCTCTGGCAGCCTCTCTTTCTCTTTCAGTCTCTGAATCAGCAGGTCCCTTCGGTAAACAAGGCAGAATGATTGTTGGATTTGCATATTCCTGAATAAATTATATTGCATTTGTGCGATAAGCACCACACTCCTGTTTAGTATCTTTTCCACCTCCTTTTTATTGCCTCCAATTTCTCTCTTCCTCTCTCCCTTTCTCTGTGTACACCTTTCACGCACACTGCCATGAATTAACCCTGAAAACGAGGGACCACGAAGAGCAACATGCTGCTCAAAATTCATGCTTTCTGCAATCGGAAGGAAACATGTCATTGGCTCCCAGTGGGGTGAATACCTCCAAATACATGGATGGTTAATCAGGCTTGAAATGATGCAAACACAAGTCCAAGAACAAGGATGCTGACCACTCTCAGTGGTGAGGACATGAGGTATCTACCTTTAACCGAGAGGAGGTGGAGATTAAAGACGTCATAGGTTCAGAGACACAACAAAAAAGGCAAGATAAGAGGAAGAGGAAAGTGTGACCCATTGAGTTTATTCAGTCTCAGACAGGTTCATGAACATGTGTGCATATTTCTGTGCCCAGTGGAGCTGGGGGGTGAGATTCTTGACAAGAATATATCCACAGACTGTAACCCATTTTTAATCAAGGGATCACTGTGCTCAGAAAGCCTGAAAATAAATTCCCAATGTTAAAACCACGTGAAGGACCTCAACCCTTACCACACCATCAACTCATCTGACTGCTTTTTTTTTGTTGTTCTCTCCCCAACTTTCCCTCTGTTTCTTGGGAGATTTGGGCTGGTGGTATTTTGGCTGTGAAAAGGAAACCGTCGGACGGCGGGGCATGAATATTCCAAATGACTAATGTTGCACATGCTTATTTTTGACATATCTGGTTTCCTCGGGGAAATAAAACACTTCTAATACAGGGGGACCATCTGTTATCTGTTGCTGGTGTTTCAGAGCAGGCAGATTCACCACACGCACACACGCCCAAAAATACACACAGGCTTACAGACACATATGTAGCACCACAAGCAGACAGATCGACACATTTCCACTCAGCAGGGAGGCATACGTACACATCGAGCAGCACGTACCGACGGTACCATCCGCTGGGAGCTTGCACAACAGGCAGGATCTAAACTCTTATACAAACTGAACACTCCTTTTTTTTTTTTTATCCAGAATGTTTGTCAAAAATGCTGTAAATCTTGGGCTATAGGTGACAGGGAAAGCACTCACTTTTTATGTTCACCATAAATACCTGGCTCTGTCTTCTGGCAGCAGATGGAGCAGGATAATGTGCTGGTAGTGTGAAAGGGAGAATAAACTGGCTGTATGAAAACAAAACATGATACACAGGAAACAGCTCTCTGCTTCACATCTATATCAGGAGAACCTTTCTTTTGATTTATTTCAAACTGAGGCTGCAGGAAAATGTGCAGTTTCCATGAATTGACACCTTGTTTTATTCACCAAGCTTCCAGGTATAAAAAAAAATACTCCTGTTTGTGTGATTAAATATTTTTGACAGCTAAATCCAAAGGAGAGCTTAGAACAATATGCTTGAATATTTTTCAACAATGAGTAATCTCTTAAATATACGTTTACACCACTTTCCAGGTGAAATATCTTAAACGACATGGCAAGACTGAGCATACTTGAAAATTCATGGATCAAATTGCCCATAAGCACATGACCATTCTTCAAACCTGCTTTGGCCATACCTACTAGATAAACTTGTAAAGCTCTTAAAGTTTATTGTATTATTCCTCTAAAGACAGTGTAAAATGGAGTGATGTCATATCTCATCAAAGAGACTCTTCCATCCAAACATGTGTATTGTATTTTTTATTTTTTTTGTAAAGTACTGCAGCTACCAAATGTTTTTTCCCCCAAGAATTCCCTTCTTGCTTTGCCAGAAAAGCTGGGTCCCAACTTGAATCTGCAATCATTCATGATTGGATGCAAAATAGAAAACTCAGCTAATTGTAATTTCTTTATTGCCAGTGTAGTTCTTCCTTCTTTTTTAAAGATGAGCCATCTTTACCATTGATGCATCTGTTTCGAAATGATATGTTACTGTTTTTATTGTAAGAATAACATGGGTTCTGCAATGTACATATTCTACAGATTCCATATACACATCTGGAAAAGGCAGGCTGTAAAACCAGTAATGGGAGGACTAAAAACAAATCTCATAACCATTTATCTCGTATTTTCTATACGAGAAAAACCTTGTCACAGTACCTCCAGTCTCTGGCTCCTCCCTTTGAGAGGAGCAACACACCTACAAATGCAGCCAATTCCCCCAGGTCGGACGAGACTGCATTAGCAGGGTTTTTACCTCAAAACTATAAGGTAATCCAAATTCAATACGCACCTCATGAAACTTTAATTAGAATGGGTGTGCCAAATGTTTTTTACGAATGCATAATTTACAAGGTCTACGCACTTTGGGTTACACTTCTCTAATCTCAAAGTTTTCACTGTTTATGCAATAACAAAATATTTTGTTAAAACTGTGGAAAGGTCAAACTCATGGAGATTTTGTAATAAAAAAGTTGTAGCTGTTTAAGGTTAAAACACCAACATGGTTGTATATTTCACTGAAAAAAAGGTCTTCTGTGTTTCCATCACCTCGCTCTCTGATCGGCTACAGGTTACATTCAGGCTGTGTTCTTAGGGAACGCCAGACACATTGCGATATCAGGCTAAGACAACCCAAGATGTTGAATATCCTCTATTTTAGCTTGGCGCATTCCCAACACACTTGTGTGTGGAAAAGATCACTCAACACAGCACACTCTGCAGAAATATCCATTAAGATTATCTTTATCACCAACCAAATAATTTGAACATTCTTGCAATTGTTGGAAAGAAAATCAGAACAAAAATTTTGAAGGCACTGGTTTTTTGTTTTGCTGATGAATGATGAATACTGACATTACCTGAGGCATGTACGCCTATTGGTTTGAGTTCTTTGCAAACATTTACATGAGTCATCAACAAACTCTCGAAGTAATTTTGATAGAATAGCCAATCCTGGGAAGGTTCACCACAGTTTCATGTTTGCGCATAATGGCTCTCGTCGTGGTTCACTGTATCGCTTTCCACACATGTACATGTCAATGATTCTTCAGTTTACATGCCAACTGGGCATGTCGTGTGACATGAACTAAAAGTCCGGGCTGATCAAAGTAAATTCATGATTTAAGCAAAATAGCATTTTGTATATAAGATAAATTTCTTTGAAAAATTACATGCAACCAAATAACGACAACGGAACAGTTCATAGCACTAAAAACTGTACACAACAGAACTTAAAGTTGAACAAAATTTGCCTGTTTCCTTAACATTTCATTCCACATAAAAGTGGTATAGTTACACCGATATGATGCACTTTAAAAATGAGTACCTGTCCTTTACAACTCTGAATAAAAAGCATAGAAAAATGCATATAATTAATGTTACAAGACTTTTTGAAAAGAATGCTCACCTTGTGTGGTAAATGAATTTATGATCAATTGCTACATCTTAACCAAAGGATGAGTTGCAGTTGCATGATTGTTATCAACTGTAATAACAGACAGAACTGTATTTGTAATAGCAGGAAAAAGCTATGGCATTTTACTGTAAGAGGATCTTTGATAAAAATAAAGAAAGACATTCTACAGTAGGGATCAAAGAAGGCATGTGCGTGTGCGTGTGTGCGAAGACAGTGGTGAGGTTTAATAACTTACCTCTGTCAGCTGCCTTTAAGTGAGGATCTTCACTCATGAGGCCACCTGGGGCACTGTGGGCGTCTTTGATCTGTGAGCACAATGGAGGCAGAGAGGGTGAGAAAGCAGGGTCAAAGATCTGTACACTTAGCAGACCTTGGATATCACCTGTGTTATTGCATAAAATGACATGGAAACCAGCACATCTTGTGTTTGTGTGTGTGTGTGAGAGAGAGAGACGATAAGAGATTTTTATTTTTTTTATTTTCAAAGATCCTTTCAGCTCAAGTCCACGACTCTAATATGCACCTCCCAGCAGACGCTGACGACACTTGATGTTTCGAAGTACAAGGCATCTCTCGCTGTGCTCCAGGAGCCTCTCTCAGGAGCCTTTCAAAAGACAGTTTAATGATGAAAGACAACATGCTTGGATGCTTGTGTTCTGTTTTTAGGTCACAGGGGAAATCCAGGCAAAGCCAAAACAATTTCAGCTCTTTAATTTCTCTTTAAAAGACGCCACAATTTATTTTAAAAGTCACACTCTGATTCAGTGGCTCGCGGAAGTTGTTAGCACCAATAATCACCTCCTGGAGTAAATATTGACTACTAAGCTGCAGCTTAGCAGTGAAGGATACACTTGATGAAAAGAACGATGTTTATCTGTAGCCAGTATTTTTTCTCCCTTAGATTATAAAATGTTTATTTTTCTTCATGCGTCCTCCTTTTTGATGCTCGTAGGAACAAAAGAGAAAAAAAGGCTTTCTATAGGAGACTAGCGGTGAGGACATCTCAACATGAAAAGAGTCCTACATATGGGAAAGAGGAAATGTGGGTTTGATTTGATAAGCTGTCACATGCTGCATGCTGTCGTCTTCTCCTCTTTGGAAAAACAAGGCTGTAAACTCAACTGCGCAAGTGAGAGGTGTCACCAAATGCAATGTGACTCACTGCTTCTGAAGGGAACAAAAAACCTGCTTAAGATCACTCTGACTTTTCATGTGGTGTTTGCAGTTTGGATTCTCTTTCTGACAGGCTGGACTGAAGGCAGAGGTAAATGCCAAAGCAAAGGAGCATCAGTTCTGACATGCATTCAAAAGCAATTGGGTGAAATGATTCTTCTGCTTTAAATTAAATGATTTCATGGTCATTTTGTGGAAACAAGAATACAGTATCTTCCAAAGATGCTCAAATTCATATGACTTTTTTCTATGTTGTTGAATTAAAATAAAAAAAAAATAAAAAATTCAGTCTGTTTCATGCCCCGTGTCATTGTAGTCAGTCCACCCAAATGTCCCATATTAAATCCAGGAACACTTTGTTGAAGTCAGAAGCCTTCAAAATGATTCACGCTACATTCAATCATTCACATGCTGCACATTTGTCCTTGAAAAATCGATAAACATTATACTGTTACTTTTGAGATCTTTCAGTTGGTGGATTATGAGGGAAAAATACAATCTATACTTCATTTACTTTTTAAATGTTTTCAGTTCAAAAATGCATTCACTCAGAAAACTTGTGTTACATCCAGTAAACACGTTTTAGCAGAAGAAGAAATGGGTTTAAAAATGTACCAAACCACATCGTTACAGTTAAAAAACCTTGGCTTTTAAACATTTTGATCAGAATTTGCCAAGCTAGGAGCTACAAGGAAGACATTTGACTTATGTTTCCACTGCATGCATTATAAAGTGTAGTCACAAACAGCAAATTTAAAGATGTCAAAAACACTTAACAAGTAAGGACTCAAGGGATTGGTAAGGACATGCGTCATATTTATAGAAAAATGCACATACAGTCCATTTTTTTTAATACATGCATACATACATTAGCATTCTATATCGCCAACCTGAGGCTAGAAGCCTAAATAACCTGTTACCAGGATGTGTCGTGTCGACGGATACATTAGCTGACCTCTCAATGGCCCTGGACGTATACAGAACATGAACAGAGGCGATGTCAGTCCTGATGATCCTCTCTGCAGACCTAATTGTTTGTTGCAGTTTGGAGCTGTCCTGATTTGTGGATGAGTCAAACCACAGGACAGATTGTATGATGGCAAGTGTAGAAGCTAAACAGTTGTTTAATCAACAGGATTTGCATCAGTATTCACACCTGCACAAAAGGTCTGAAACCATGAACTCTGGATGTAAACTGGACCAAATGTGTCAGGTGTGAACATGCTAAATTTCTGCAGGATGCAGGTTCTACTGAAGTCTCCATTGTCTTTAGCAGATTCAGCCTCAAGTGATTCTGACTGCATTAGCGGACCAGCCAATTCACCTCCTGTTTGCATGCAGAGCCATTACTGTCCTAATTCAGACCAATTAGAGTGGTGTCGTCTCTAAACTTCAGGAGTTTCACAAACACCCTGAAGAAGAAAACTTTTGCATGGTGTGCTGTATTACAGACAGATTCACTAGGGGAAATAAAAAACACTTTAAAACCTGTTCTTATTCCACCTACATTTTCATGTCCTGTCTTTGTTCTCATTTGCGTTTGTTCAGGAGAGAAACTGGCAGCGTGAAGCCACGAAGAAGCCAAACACAGCGCGCTCAGAAATCAGTCAACACAAGTACAAAGAGCCTTGCTCTTGAAAAACCGCCTGCCTTTGAAGGATCTTTATTCGCCGTTCCCCAGCTGCCCGAAAGTGAGTGAGTGCTTAGACATACACCGTGCGTATTTGTCCATCGAGAGCTGGGCCCCCACAAATGAAAAGAGGGACACGCAGATCCAGGAAGTGGCTAATTAATAGACAAGCAGAAATTTCTGAATTTGTAATGATCAAATAGACTTCATTTTGTTCCCCCACCACCATCTTTGCCAATCCATCCTCCCAGGCGACTTTCTTTAGAGACTAATCTTATAAATACAGCCATAATCAAAATAAATGACTAAAACCTCTAAGGGAGTTGAGGGCTATGCACAGTTACATCAGAGGAACTGATGCAACTTAAACAGCAGCCTGTGAGCCACGGATTCAGGGTTCAAAATCACAGTGAATACTTACTTATGTAATACTTCCAGCCCCGTTTTTGTTGTTGTTGCTCAGTTTGGCAGACCTACATTCATGACAGCCAAGTAGGAGAGACACAGCTTCCTCTCTGTGAGTATTTTGCTGAATTCCCACAGCAGTGTGCTCAGCTGGTGTCACATTTTTCAGACTTTCCTCCAGTTTTAATGTGTCTATTTTACTCTTATGTCTGAGCGCACTTTTCTCGTATGTTCTCTGCAGATTTGGACATCTGTAAGGTTAATCAAGCAGCGATGTGATAAAAGAAATGTGTTTCCTTGAGATGTCGTCTGTTTCTGCGTGTTTTGTTACAGTTATGTTTCCCAGCAGTAGACACATTTAAATATCAGAAATACAAACCCAAAAACCACAGGATTTTTGTTTGCCAACTTCGTTCTTTTGCATGGCATGAACTCACTTGAAAGCTGCTTTTTACATTTACAGCAGGTCACCAGACATTAAAACGTGTATGATCTCAAGCATTTCAATTCAACAACATAGAAAATACTGGAAGAAATCTCCACAGAGAAATGTATAGCTCGATATTTTTTCCTCCCGTTTCCAACTACATCGGTTTTTGATTTTTCAAAACTCTACAGCAAGAAACATTCTGGTTTACAGCAGGTTTCTGAGAATAAATGTGGTGAAATATACTTTCAATCTGTCCCGTGTTTGATGGATATGTTTCAGCCACAAAACTCCACAGAACAGATTGCACAGACTGTGCAGCCATAACTCTCAGCAGCTCTCTGATTGAAAGGAAAGCTGTTACAGATGTTTAACTCACAGACTTGAGCTGTGCTGACATCAAAATTTAGTTTTCACATTTAAGCTGAGTTGTTTATTGAGCAGCGTTTATTATGCAGAAGAGCAGAAATATATGGCACCAGAGGCAAAAGCATAATATCTGCAGAAGACAAAGAAGCTTTTTTGCCTCGTGACGCTGCTGCTAATACAAACTGAAGCAGACTGTAACATATTTGGAGGCTTCTGCTGAGGTTCAGCTCTTGGGCAGGAGGGCAAAGTGGAAGGTGAGCTCTGATCCAATCCCTGGAGTTCAAGTTTTTGGGAAAAATCCATTCTGTAAGCATCACCAGCAAAAAGAGTTAGTGTAGAGAGGTCCTTAGGAGCTTTTCAAAATGTGAAAAGTAGGTTTTAGTGACAGGTAAATCACAAGCAAATTCAGCCTGAAGAAAAAAAATATTTTTTTTCCAAAACCAAAAAACACTGCTGATCTGACGTTAGTAGGAATGATCACTTTCTTTTAAAGCAGGAGGTTTTATATAAAGAAATTTAAGTGACATTTTAAATCAAAATATCAGTTAATCAGAGGCAGCGAAGCAAGTTACACTTCTGCTTTACAAAAAAAAAAAATTATTCTAGCCTCGTGTACTATAAAGAATGTTTTTGACAATAACTCTAGACAATAATAGAAAAGATGCTGTATAACAGCAGCTGTATGAGCAACAGCTAAAAAGGACGCAAGCTGGCCGACTTGTTGCTTGTGATTAAAGGCTTGCTCATGTCGTGGAGCATGTGGACAAAAGTTACCCTTATTAGGAAAAGATAATGCATATATGCAGAAAATTTGAAGGAACATTATTAAAAGTGTAAGGAACTGAAGCTGATGGGTGTAGAGCAGAACTTTCACCAACGTTTGCCATTACAATTGAGTACCAGCTCTAAGTGAGTTGGGTTGCCTTAGCAGGCCGACTCCAAAGTCAGATTTTTGGTACAGCCCTACTTGGATTCACAGGAAAAAAGCTTCCTACCTATGGTTCCAGGTAACCATTACCATTAAAAATCCTCTTATAATCGAGTCAAGCCACGCAGAGCAGGGATTGTTAGAAAATGGGCACATAAGACACTGCGATTACTGTATGCAAATGTTACAACTGTTCCAGAGTCTACACATCTGACACATTTGTAGCACAAGTTAGCATAAGACATTAAAACAATTCTGCTGAATTAACTATTTTCCCCCTTCTAGTAGAATGCTAGGAATTGGATTGAGTGATCTACATTGCATTTGTATTTTCATGTTATGTTTTGAAAACTTTCAAAGTGCCATAAATCAA